ACACGTGTCAAAATTGTCAGTAAATGAAAGATTCCCACCTACATCCTGTCGGGTTGTTACAACCATTGCCTATTCTGGATCGCGTTTTTGAGGATATTGCAATGGACTTCATTACATGTCTCCCCAGTTAAAGGGGAAAGACCACAATCATGACTGTGGTAGACTGCCTCACTAAATATGGGCATTTCATACCTCTGCCTTCTACCTTCTCTACTCATACAGTGGCTGAGGCATTTGTCATGGCATTTATCAGGCTCTAGGGCACTCCCCGCTCTATTGTGACTGATCGTGATCCATGGTTCTTGCATTCATTTTGGCAGGAGATTAATCGTTTGCAGGAATCGACTTTGGTTATGAGTACGGCCTACCATCCTTAAAAGGATGGTCAGTCTGAGGCCCTTAACAAATGTGTAGAGCAATATTTGCGTTGCTACGTCACCGAGGTACCTTCCCAATGGGTCGCGATGATACTATGGGCAGAATTTTGGTACAATACTTTTTTCAAACTTCAGATGGTATGACCCCCTTTCAAGCTCTTTATTGTGAACCACCTACTGTAGCTCGATACATTTTGGGAAGCGCAGCAAGTGAGTTGGTAGAGTCCTATCTCCTACAGAGGGATGAGGTACTGCACATCCTCAAGCACAATTTATTAAAAGCCCAGAATCGTATGAAGTTGTTTGCTGACAAGTCTAGAACTGATACTTCCTTTGAAGTGGGTGATTGGGTATATGTCAAACTTAAACCCTTCTGACAATCAACTTTACGCTTGCAGCGAGACCATAAGTTGGGGAGGCGTTATTTCGGACCCTATCAGGTGTTGAAACGCATTGGTAGCGTTGCATATCGTGTAGAACTTCCTGAATCTGCAAGGATTCACTCTGTCTTCCATATTTCTATGTTGAAGTGTTGTGTTGGTACTCCGGACCAGCATGTGACTTCTCTGCAACTTGGTGATTCCAATGCTTCTGATGATCCAATTGACTCCAACCTTGAGGACAACGTTGCTTTTCAGGTAGGGAGTAATATTGTGAATGAGAATAGAGCTGACTGGGTTGCCACGCAAGACGAACACATGGGACTGCCACAAAGGACTTCTAGAAAGGTCATTCCTCCTAAAAGACTTGCCGATTACGTTTGGAAAGAAGGAAGTTCACGTGAAGAAGGGTAAAATAGGCTAAGCAGTAGTATAAAGCATCATGAGTGGGGTTGTTGCAAGGCAGGCAATTTGTTATGAATGATTCTGTTCTCTTTTCCTCCTTCTGAATTCCTCATCCCTCTAATTCTCTTATCTGTAGTTATTGTCACTTTTAGTATTCCTTTGTAAGTTTGTTTGGAACTTCAACAGAGCAATTACTTGTAATTCTCGTTACAGCCTATCAATACAAGTTTGGGTGGAATTGATTACTGTTTTATTGAATTAAGTTTGTTACACCCAATCTATTCTAATAACACCCACTCAAAATAAAGCAAAAAATTTGATATTTTTTTGCTACAAATAGCTAATTAGCTAATTTGGTTAATATTAGTAATATTTTATTAATTGGCCAATTTTTGTAATGAGCTACCTATAAATGGACATAGCTGGTAATTTCCCATGAAATAATTTAAATTAACCAATAACCATATCAGGACTATAGCTATGGCGTATAATTTGATAAGTGTTTCTTTAGAAGCTTGATTGATAATTTATATTTTTTTGGCTACTTTTAATTTTGATTAGGCGAGTATTTCTATAATTTTATTTTCTAGAAATAGTGTCTATTATTAGGTTTAAAAATAATAGTTATTTGAAGTTTTTATTTGAAACAAAGATTTTATCACCATTTGTTTAGAAAGAAAGATAAAAAGCTAGAAAAATACCAACCATAGTCCATAAATAATGATACTAACACACGATTGATTAGCTTCATTAATTCTGTTGGAAGACTTTTATTGAGTATGGTTTTCCTTTAATGCATTAGTATTATTTTCATGAATTTAGGTTTATTTCTTTAAATTTTATTTTATAATATAAATATCTATTTTAAATAATTTATCAATGTGATTCTTAAAAGAAAGAATTACAAGAAAATATACATGACTTCACACCATAAAAAAATAGCCCATGTTTTTAAGTTTTATCTGACTTAGCTCATATTGTACATATATTGTTGAAAGCACTATAGCAAATTCAAAATCTGTGTTCTTATAACCATTGCTTCTAAAAGTTATGAAGTTAAATATATATTATCATAACTATTGCTTTCACTCTCTCTTCTTCTCACATCTTCTACATATGCTTCAAGGGACCGTCCACCCTTACTGCTCCTCTCCTTGTGTCACCTGATTGCAATGTAAGAAAATTGAAAAGTAAAAGTCCACCATTGAACGCCATTCAAAGCTTTGCTTTCGAAAATAGGATTTTTTGAGTTTGTTAGTTGTTTGGATTGGTGTTGTTCCAATTGATTGAAAATATCAATAGGAGTTCAAAATTTAAATTTGAAGTGATTTGGAGTAGATTTGAGCAAGATTTGAGTTAAATTTCAAAAAAGACGCAAGGAAGATGACGAAGTCATTTTTTTGTATAATTATATATAATCTTGTATAATAGTGTATATGAGTGTATAAACACATCTTATACACTATTATACGCTTTTATACACCTTTATACAAGCGCATGTAGACGAACTTCTTTCACGATTTTCAGTTGATTTTCTTTTCAAAACCAACTAACGGAGGTAGCTAGGAAGGAGGCGAAGATGGCAGTGACGGAGGCTAAGACGACAACTTTTGCTCGTCTGTATGAGGAACTAAGGAACAAAGGTGGAGAGAAGAAGTTATTCCGAATCGCTAAGGCGAGAGAGAGGACAACTCGGGATCTGGACCAAGTGAGGTGCATAAAAGATGATGACGGCAAAGTTTTGATGGGAGATGACCAGATTAAGAGGAGGTGGCAGACCTACTTTCATAAACTTCTAAGTGAAGAAGGGGATCAGGATATTATACTTGGGGAATCGAGGAATGCCGACAGTCACCATGAAGTAAGTAATTGTAGGGACATTGAGATCGATGAAGTCATGGAGGCAATGCGTAAGATGAGAAGGGGCAGAGCTACCGGGCCAGACGAAATCCCGGTTGAACTGTGGAGGTGTGTGAGTAGAGCAGGCTTGGAATGGCTTACTGCATTGTTTAGTGTTATATTCAAGACTAATATGATGCCTGAAGAGTGGAGGTGGAGTACAATGGTCCCGTTGTATAAGAAGAAAGGTGATGTCCAGAGCTGTAACAACTACNTCGGGCACATTCAAAGGAGGAGCACTGATGCACCGGTGAGGAGGTGTGAGCGACTGGCTGTAGTTGGCACGCGGAGAGGTAGAGGGTGACCTAAGAAGTATGGGGTAGAGGTGATCAGACAAGATATGGCACGACTTAGGATTACTGAGGACATGACCCTTGACAGGGAATTATGGAGGTCGAGCATTAAGGTTGTAGGTTAGGGGAAAGTTGTGAATATTTCTACAACACAATAGAGTGAGACTAGCCAATTAGGAGTTAGACTAAGAATGTCATTGGTCGTCTATTGATGCAGGGCTTTACCTGCTAGTTTTACTATACCAGCCATCTATTTCGTATTTCGTATTTTGTATTTCATATTTCATATCTCTTATACTGCTGTTATTTTATTATGCATTTTTATGGTACTAATATATCGGCTCCTGTTGCTTTTTGAGCCGAGGGTCTCCTGGAAACAGCTTCTCTACCCTTCGGGGTAGGGGTAAGGTCTGCGTACATATTACCCTCCCCAGACCCCACTTGTGGGATTATACTGGGTCGTTGTTGTTGTTGTTGTTGTTGTTTCTTTTCAAAACCAGTCCAAATCTCCATTGAATGACTTCAAATATTATATACAACCTGCTTATGCTATTTCTAACAAGCCTAAATAACACCCACTCCAAATTTTTTACAAAATCAAATTCGAAATTTAAATCCACATATTTAAGCTTGTTAAAAATCTAATTTTCACCATCCAAATGGATTTGGTTTGTTGAACTAATAATTGAGTCACAGTTACTGATTCAAAAATTAACTTAAAAGCTTGAGCAATCTTTTTAAAAATTAAATAGCAATTTCGAGAACCTATTGGAGTTGAATGTTGAGTATTAGTCTATTATTTTTGGGTTAGTTGGTTGTAAATTGAAATATGGGCTATAAAATTGAAAAATAGGGAACCCAGTTGTTCTAATGTGAAATTTTCCCTTCTTAAAAAGCTTATACATATTGATATGGGCACACGCGCAACGTGTGTATCCAAAGATTAGTTAATAATTAATTAAGTGTTGTGCACTTTTTGATCTTTTCACATTAAGACTTTATTTTAGGGTTCGTTTGGTATGAGTGAATGGAATGATAAAGAATAAGTAATTTCGAGACAAAATTCAAGAAGAGTTTATCACATGTTTGGTTGGTAAAAAAACTACGGTATAATTAATTCCGGAATTTTTTTTTGGTTTCCCACCCGGTGTCTGGTACCTCCATTGGAGCCCGACTATATCCGGATTCGCGCCGCGTAGGGCCCTATTTGGGAGGGGGAGCGTTCCCTACCAAAGATTTTTCCATATCCAAGACTCGAACTCGAGACCTCTGGTTAAGAGAAGAACAGTCTCATCCACTGTACCACATCCTTTGGTGGTAATTAATTCCGGTATTCCAAAATTATAGTATTTTTTATCCCCATGAAAAGGTGAAATAACTAGTACTGAAATACTAATCCTGAAATAATTAATCCTGGGATAACTTATTTCCAACCAAACAACTCCCTTGTGTGTTAAGAAATACTGCTGCTATCTTAAATTACCACGGCAAAAAGAAAAAAAGAAATTACCTACTCGATCATAATATAAAAGAGAAACCCTAGCATTCAAATCAAAGCAAAGCTCCAAATACAGAAAAGGTTAAATCTTTTCAAAGGCCAATGAAAGAAGAAATCAGTATCTCCCCTCAAATTCACAAAGGTGTCTGTTTATTTTTGCCGCATCTGATGTCTATTTTCTGTTTGTCTGTGCGCGCGCGTCGTGCCTGAGCAAGCTTAAGTCAGTTCTAACTCTTACCCACTAACAATGGCGGATTTAGAGGGGAAGGGGTTCATCAGAACACCCTTCGCCCGAAAATTGCTTTTAATTTTATAACTTTCTCTTTTTGAACCTTTTAGTGGTAATCCTGCCTCCGCTATTACCCACTAAAGTTTAGACAGATGAAAACAAATTATTTTTGGTGCCTCAAGTTACAACCTTGAGTGTTATTTTGTTTTTGTTTTTTATAACTCAAGCCTGCGCAACACTCGATTAATTTCACGAGGTATCTGCTACCTTTCATTAACATAGATATCGTATAACTTTGTTCATCAAGGCTTGGACAGATGGAAATAAATTACCTAGTGTTTTTTGCCTCCACTAGCGTTGTTACTTGTGTTATGGCGCTAACCACTATTTTTAATTGCAGCTAAAAGAGTTGTGAAGCTTTCAAAGAATACAAAGCAGTTGGATGTTGATGGGGCTATGGGAATTCACTTACAAGATGAAATAATTATGGACATTCTCTATATATTACCTGTACGGTGTCTTCTTCGATTCAAATGTGTTTCAAAGGTTTGGAAAAGGTTAATCTTATTCGAGCCTTATTTTAAGATAAAGCATCTCAATCGCGCCAAGAATGATCAAAATTCCCGAAAATTTCTTGTTAGCCAAATGTCCCTTGATACGGATAATATGTTTTCCTTCTATAGTTCTTCATTGTCTTCGTTTTCTTCTTTGTCTTCATTTCAACTCGTTAAGGATGTGCAAAAACTTGATTGCCCTTCAAATTGTAGACCAAGTCGTTGCAGAATCTATTGTTGTCGCGATGGCTTGTCTCTTATTGGGGTTTGTAGTTATCCTGACAAACACGTCGTACTTTTGCTATGGAACCCCTCCACAAGAGAAACCGAAGTACTCCCATGTTCTGAATTTCCACCGGAGGAATTTTGTACTTTCGGATTGGGATATGACTCAACTAGTGATGACTATAAGATCCTTAAGATTGATCCTAAAGCACGCGGTGAAATTCTCGCGCTGAAAAGTGGTTCATGGAGAAAAATTGATCAACATCCTACCGGCGTTTCCCCTGTGTTGTCTGGTATGGACTCTTTGGCATTTGTAAATGGAGCATTTCATTGGCTTGGTTTGTCGCTCAATGATTTTGCGGTATCATTTAGTATTTCAAATGAAGTGTATGGACAGATTCCGTTGCCATATGCAATGTGCTTAATGGAAACCACCAAACGTGGCATCTCAGTATTGAACGGAATGCTTTGTGGTTATTGTATTAACAGTCGGGAGAAGGACAGTTTTTGCGCATTGGTAATGAAAAACTATGGCGTCAAGGAATCTTGGTGTCCATTGTTTGTTATACAATGTACGAATCTTTATTCAGCCATACCCGGATATAGGTTTGCAGATGGTGAAGTGTTGCTCTATACTGGGAATTGGTTTTATTCTGTATTGAGGACATCCAAAGGACCATTTGGATTATGTCCTCAATATAATACTTATCGTGAAGGATTCGTTTGTACAGAGAGTGTGATCTCTCCAAAATTACATTATGAATGATCGAGACAATTCTTTTATTTTTTCTCTGGTAATCATGTTACAACCTCTTATTCTTGTAAGTTTATCTATTGATCGACAATTTTTGGTTCAAAAGTGCATTCACCAAAGCTTTCAGCTTGCTAGTTTCATGTTCTCAGTGGTGTAGTTAATAGTTGTTTTGCTCAAGTAGCTACAACAACAACAACCCAGTATAATCCCACTTAGTGGGGTCTGGGGAGGGTAGTGTGTGCGCAGACCTTACCCCTACCCTAGGGTAGAGAGACTGTTTCCAAATAGACCCCCGGCATCCTTCCCTCCAAGAACTTCCCACCTTGCTCTTGGGAGACTCGTACTCACAACCTCTCGGTTGGAAGTGGGGTTGCTTACCATCAAGTAGCTATTCTTTATGATATAGTTTCAAGCTTTTGGAAATTATATAACTTAGTTTTAATATCATGAAATTCAACTTTCTGGTGCAGCATATTTTGGTGGGGAGCCATACCCACCATTAATAGGTATCTAGATTTTTTTTTACAAAAAAAGTTGAGAGGATAACCCCGGGTAAAAATTTATTCGCTATGAATAATAAACCTGAGGATGTTCTTTGTATAAAACAAACTACAAATTGAGCTAGAGAAAAAATCAAGACTCTTGACAACGTCGGAACTGCAATCTCATCTTAGAATAATAAAATACACTCTGTGTCACAACGACACTTCCATCATAGTCGACTACATAGACAGCCCCCTAAAGTTGCCACATCTTTTCATTTAGACAACTCAAAACTAAAAACTGGACTATATTCATGTTCTAAAACATGAATATAGTTTTGTAAGAGCAGTTTCATTACAAATGACTAAAGAACAAAACAAACATACAGCAAAGAGGAAAGAAAGACGTTATAACCAATTTCCTTTTGAACTGCTAACCTGCGTGTGATCTGTTAAATATTGTCTCTTTTGTCTTCTCTCCAACTCAGAACTATCATCAGCACCTGATAATGACAACTTGGCCCATTTCTTGTATTCATCACTCAAGTTAAAGATGGATAGAAAATATTCTGCAAGCTCCACTTCCCCGACCAAGCAATCTCTGATTGCACCTGCATTTAGAATAAAGGAAATTGGAGTATCAGTTGGCAAGTCACGTCTAGACTCACACTCCTGCATTTTTCTACTTGCTCGCGAGCCATGGTACTTTCTCCTTGTGTATAGTTTTGTCCCTATTAGTATATACCATTCCTTCTTTTTGCTTCGGTTAACAAGAGGAGCAAGAGCTGTGAGAGAGTTCGGATTTGTGACTATGTGTTGAGTTTTTGATTAAGATGAAATAGTCTTAAAATTAGAGTGAATGTGAAATGGGATTTGGATTTGGATTTGGATTCGGATTTGGTCAAATGATCGATCGATTGTTTAATTTTTTGAACCAAATTTATTTGTTAATAGTGAATATTAACGTGATATAATCCGTGTATTGTGTTGCAACACTAAGCAATAAGCAGCCTAGTGCACCTCCCACAATAGTGCAAGTGCCCCTCCCACCAAGCAAGTGTACATTCCACCATGTAAGTGCTTCCTCCATGATAGCCTAGTGCTTGTTGCACCATGGAGGGGGCGGATTTCTCTCAAATAACTGCTATAAATAGAGCATAACTTGGAGAGAAAGAAGAACACATCGAAAAAAACACTCGAAACACTCTGTATACACTTAATATACACTCTGTATACACTGCGTATACACTGGAAAAACGAATTGCAATCTGATATTCTCTTCAGTAAAAATTCAACATTGGCTATACTTTGCATTCCGTCATCTCAGAATTTCCATTCGACTTCTGAGTTGTGCTCCTTATTCTGCATTGTTTTTAACTACAAACAAAACATCCATAAATGTGATTTGCTGCCGAACTTTGTGTTCGCTGAAACACTGGGTTTGAAGTACCGCTACACCAATGTGTAATTCGTTCTATCCTGGGAGGAAATAATCTATAACTTTGGGTACTAGGAGTGGATTAAATTCCTTAAAGAAACACTGTGAATTCAGTGGGCTCAAATTAATTTCTGTTTTATTTATATTTACGTTTATAAGCTAACTTTCTAATTTCCAGAATCATTATTTACAAATACAGGCAGGAAAATAACATTATGTTCTGATGAATCCAAAAGGTTAGCGAAAGAAAATGTTTTGGAAATTCTACCTGTTAAAGCTAGATTGGAGCACACCTCTGCATCAAGAATCTCAGCCGGCAAAACACCAGCTGTGTCTAACACATAAATACTAGGATGGCTGGCGATCAGATTTTGTAAAAGTAGTTTCATCAGGAAATGACTACAGAAACTTGATTGCCCTTCAAACTGTAGACCAAGCTAGGGCTGTTCATTCGGATCGGATATCCGAAATCCGAACCGATCCATTCAATTTTGGATTTCGGATTTCGGATTGGATCGGATTTCGGATTGTATTTATTAAAATTTAGGATTTAGGATCGGATTCGGATTGGTATATTTTAATCCGATCCGAAATCCGAAATTATTAGGTAAAGTATAAATACTACACTTTAATTTCGGATAGTCAGTACTTCCTTTACATCTTCTTCCAAGTTATTACCTTTACAATTGCTAGATTTAGCTATATTGGTACCGAAGTACTCTCATAATTGCATAAACATGATTTTTTTTTAATATCTTGCCTCTTTTACAAAGAAAATATACATATTAGTTTGCAACCTTGAGGCATAATAATATCCGAAATCCGATCCGATCCAATCTTAAAATCCGATCCGATATAATTCAGATCGGATTCGGATTGCATTTTCTAGAATCCGAAATCCGAATTCAAAATGTACGAAATTCGATCCGATCTGATCCATGCACAGCCCTAGACCAAGCCGTTGCAGAATCTATTGTTTCCACGGGCCCACGCACAAGGGCAACTCAACGGGTCTCGTGGCCTAAGGGGAAATCATATTGAGAGGCCTTTAAATTTATTTTATAAAATATTTGCACTAACAACATTTGCTTTTTAAATAACAAATTAATCATTTAAAACAAAAAAAGCCGAATTTCAAAAAAAAAGAAGAAGGAAGAAGGGCACAAAAGATAAAGCGGTGAACTAATGGATGTTGAAGTCCATAACTCAAAGTAAATTTTTTGATTTGGCTATCATCACAAACAAGAAAAAGAAATAAACGTACATAACGTGATAGCTTAAGTTTTGACATTAGACGGTATCAAAAATATTTACTCCTTCTAATCAATATAAACGATAATCATAGTTCATTCTATTAAGTAGCACTTATTGACGAATATCTAAAATAAATTGTAAATAACCTAATATAATATGTCGAATTACACTAAAAGAAAACCGGTGCATTTTGTTTTCATGCAGTTTCAGAGAACATTGTAAAAGAAATTCATTATGTTGCAAAAACATTCTGCTTCATAAGAGCACACAAACTATCCGGGACCTAATACAGCTTGTAGAATTGCATCAGCAAGAAGAATTACATATTGATTTAGATACTTGCACACTATCTTTTTGACTTTTGATGCAACTTAAAAGTTGATCAACTGTGTTCTTAGTTTTGCAACATTTTGAATCAGATTGTGTGGTATTTGTTCAGATTTGTTTTGTTCAGCGAAGAAAAGTTCTATACTACTAGTAAATTCACATAAATTGGGAGTGAATAGTACTAAAAAGAAATTAGAATAATTATTAAAAATTAGCTTAACAGAAATGTAACATCAAAATTTAAATATTTATAATTTCAGAAGTTGTAAATTGGTACAAGTATAAAAACTGAATGAACTGTATCTGCAACTGCCAAAGAAGGATCTCTTTTGAAAATTGCTTCTTTTTCCTGGTTATCTATATCTCCATTATTTCACAACTGGTTCTGTATGTGGGAGCTTTTTGACAATACTTTTGATTTGGATGGCTTCACTTTCAAGAGGGTTTTAGGCATTCTATAAGAATAAGACAATCTGGATTTACTTCTACTTGCTGGAGTTTCATCGCCAATTTGGTAAAAATCGAACATTTTCTCTTTTTTTTTTTTTTTTTTTTTTTTTTTTTTTTTTTTTTTTTTTTTTTTTTTTTTTTTGTGTGTGTGTGTGTGTGTGTTTCTTTGAGCTTTTTCACTTGCTTTAGCATTTGAAGTTTGCAGCTTTTTTTGTTAAAAACTCATTCTTTCTGTCCATTTTGGGTAAAGCATATGGAATTATTGCTACTGAGTGGTTAACTTAGCTTTATTTCCTCCAATTCTTGGGCAGTTTGAGTGTTGGATTTGGGAATTTTGGAAAACTTTGACTTGGGTGTTTACTTGTTATGGAAAATACTAATCCAACTATGATTCTGACCTAGCTTATTCTTTTGTGCAGGAATGACGTTAAAGGCTAGTTTAGTTCAAAAGATAGGTAATGCAATTAAGGAAGTGGCCAGGAATAAAGGCTCAACATGGTGGTACACACCTCATATGGCTGCAGCATCTCGTTCCATAGCTGAACGAATCCCGTTGGTTGATCTTGTCCTTGAAGTCAGAGATGCGCGGGTATGTATAAACCCTAGCCTTCATGGATATTTTCCTTTCCTTTCTTGTCTGACAAGTGTTTGATTAAATGTCTGAATGAGTTTGGCAGTATTACTCCTGAAATGTTTTGTTTTGTGATGTGGTTCTTTGGATAATACATTATTCTCTTAGATGTGTGTTCTCTTGTTAACAAGTTTTGACCTCGCACGACTTAAGTCCTGCATGATGTACTCCAACTACGTACCAGTTATGGAAACAGGAGGGATAGCCTAGTGGTAAACCCTCCAATCTCTCACCAATAAAGTTGGGGGGTTTGAGTCGTGGGCACAATAAGCTGGCTGATCATGGATCTTTACCGGGATGGGGTCAATGAAATTCTTGTCTGGATGTTGTATCATAGATGACAGGGTAACCAATGCATCGGCGAACTCATTCTGGACTTTAGGAACATGCTAGAACTTCATCCCCGTGAGCCACTTTCTTAATTCCTATACATGATGCAAATACGAGAGTCTTGGAGTTCTTGGTTGCCCATTCTTCACGCACCTGATGTATGAGTAGGTTTGAATCTCCAATCACTAGCAACTCTTGAACGTTCATGTCAATGGCCATATTGAGCCCTAGGATGCAGGCTTCATACTTAGCCATATTGTTGGTGCATGGGAACCTGAGTTTGGCGGACACCGGATAATGCTGACCGGTTTCTGATACTAGGATTGCTCCTATGCCAACTCCTTTGAAGCTTGCCGCTCCATCGAAAAACATTCTCCAACCGTCATAAAATTCTGCAATGTCTTCTCCTATGAAGTATACCTCTTCGTCAGGAAAATACATTTTTAGGGGTTCGTATTCTCCATCCACGGGATTCTCGGGAAGGTGGCCTGCCAGTGGTTGTCCCTTGACCGCTTTCTGAGTTACGTACACAATGTCGAACTCACTCAACAGGATCTGCCACTACAAAGTGGTAACTTCGGCTTTGTGTAGTGGGGTTTGGGGGTTGGAGTTTAGCAATTCAAGATGTATGTTGCAATTGAGCAAAAGACCATTATTTTTGGCCTCTTTTGGTAGGTAATGATCTTACCGGTTAGTCTTTCATTCTTCCAGAGCCTTTTTCTAAGTTTTATCTCAAGTATCAACACAAACATAATAAAATAAAAAGGAAAAGCAACAACATAGCTTGATATATTGAAATTGTTGTCAAGTCCCCAAAGGGCTGGCTGAGTGATTGAGGCATATGAGTGACAACTGGGACGTTCTATGTTCAAATCCCAGCTACAACACTTGTGGTGAACCTGTCTACTCCATCCTCAATGGATAGGGTTACTCGACACTGGTGCTTGTGGGTTATAGCAGGCTGTTTGTTGGATTAGTCGAGATTGCACAAACTAGCGCGGACACCACCATTATGAATAAAATAAAAAATTGACAAAGTTGTCAATGACATATATGGTGGGTATTTTTTATAATGACTCAATTATAATTCAACATATGTTCAGACATGTTTTAGTTCCCTTATTAACAAGGATATGTTTGTGTATCTATCATCTAATTTTTTAATCTTTTTCCCCTTTGACTTTTCTCAGATTCCTTTATCATCAAAATGTGAGCTAATTAAGAATTTGTCACCTTCCTCGAGGCGCATTATAATTCTGAACAAGACAGATTTAGCAAATCACATTCAATTAAAGGTGATGCTTTTTTCTTCACTTTCTTAGCTAGCATTTGGGCATAGATTTGATTGAAAATTGATAAAAGAGTTTTTGAAGTTGTGTTTGGACATGCATTTTATTTGAAGAAAAGTTAGAAGTTTTGTGGGTGAAAGAAATTTTTTACCCAAAAACTGTCATAAACCAGTTTTTGGGAACTTGAATATTTTTGAATTTCTTTTTCCAAAACAAGATCATATTTCACAAACCAACAATATTTTCAAAAAAAATTTAAAAAAATGAAACCAAAATTTATGGCCAGACGGGAGCTTAGTGTGGTAAACACTGCTGTTTCAGTAGACAATTGTTATCTAGCCGATTCCTAGATTCCCCCTGCTCTGCCCACCCCTCTATATGATCACAAGCAGCATACCTTACAGCTTTATGTTGTTAGGCGCTACTTCCGATCCCAAATAATCGCAGATTTTATGTTGTAGATACTTTTTGCTCGCTTCCTTTTGCATGAGCAGATATTTATTTGCATTTGTATCCTGCAGGAATGGCTGAAATACTTTGAGCAACAAAAGTGTCTTGTATTTGGAGTCAATTCCCATAATAAAGATAAAATCAAAGAGGTACGTGTATAAAAGTGTCACTGCTTTGTTTCTTATTTTATTTAGCCGAGGGGCTATCGGAAACAGCCTCTCTGCCCTCCCACGGTAGGGGTAACGTTTGCGTACACACTACCCTCCCCAAACTCCACTTGTGGGAAATCACTGGGTGTGTTGTTGTAGTATTTACTTCAGTATTTTAGGTCACTGGTGTAAGTGCTCATTTTACAATGTTATAAAGAAAAATGACATGCATTTCATGAAATTTTGTAGTTGAAAGAATAGTTTCGCTAATATAACTTTCATAATCTGGATTTTGTAACGATTATTTGTTTCAAGTTATACTCCTGAATTTATTATTCAGTTCTAGCTGCACCAATCTGTCTGGAACTTTACTCCCCATAATTCTGAAAATACTCTCCCACTGAGGTTCCATGTTGATGTATTTGATGGGCTAGCTTTCTAGATTGTTTACTTCAATAACATTCTTTTTCTACAGAATAGGAATTCTTTAATGTTTAATATATGAGGCAATACTTTGACAATACCCTAAGTTGTAGTAGTATAAAGAGTAGAACACCGCAGTGATGCGACGTTTCAAAGATTATATAAATTGTGTTACCAAGTTCGCTAGCTTTCATTTGAATTCAGGTGGCCTTTCGGTTAGTGGTGTGCACCCAAAATACGTTGGTCCATTTGAGTATGTTTATCAATTTGGCTAATTATTGTTGGTTTGGCATCGATATTGTACTAATGAAAAAGGAGTAGGGTTTGATGTTCATCACTAGTTGATCTGACAACCTTTTTTGTATGTCATGCCCATTTGCGTCAGATATAAATCTTGACATATTGCTGACTTGCAGTTACTGAACTTTCTGCGAGCTAGAGTTCGAGAATTGCCAAAGACTGGTCATGGTGATAAGACAATCACATTAATGCTTGTTGGCATTCCTAATGTTGGCAAGTCTGCCCTTGCCAACTCATTGCATCAAATTGGAAGGATCAGTGCAGCGGGTACATCAACTTTTTGTACAAACTGTTAGTTGTGTAGTTCTTATAGTTTTTTTCTCGTCTTTCAGAAAGACACTAGTCTAACAAACTTATTCGGTCCAAACATCCTGAAACATTCTTTGATCTGTAGAGAAAGGAAGATTAAAGCATGCCGTAGTGAGTCCTGATCCCGGAGAAACAAAAAATATTAGTGGCTTGAAGGTATTTATTTCTTACTTATTAAAAAAAAGAGGCTCTTTTTTCTTTCTTTGTATTATTATCATCTGGCTTCAACCACAAAAGTTGTGATCTAGAAAGGTTAGTATATCTGGATTTGGGATTTTTCGCATAGTTCCTGAAGCTTGTTTTTCAGCTTATGGGTTTTAGTTTCCTGTTTTCTGTTTGTTTTGTGTTTCTGTAGTCATTTCCTGATGAAACTACTTTTACAAAATCAGATCGCCAGCCATCCTAGTATTTATGTGTTAGACACACCTGGTGTTTTGCCGGCTGAGATTCTTGATGCAGAGGTGTGCTCCAATCTAGCTTTAACAGGTAGAATTTCCAAAACATTTTCTTTTGCTAACCTTTTGGATTCATCAGAACATAGTCACAAATCCGAACTCTCTCACAGCTCTTGCTCCTCTTGTTAACCGAAGCAAAAAGAAGGAATGATATTTATTAATAGGGACAAAACTATACACAAGGAGAAAGTACCATGGCTCGTGAGGAAGTAGAAAATTCAGGTGTGAGTCTAGACGTGGCTTGCCAACTGATACTCCAATTTCCTTTATTCTAAATGCAGGTGCAATTAAAGATTGCTTGGTTGGGGAAGTGGAGCTTGCGGAATATTTTCTATCCATCTTTAACTTGAGTGATGAATACAAGAAATGGGCCAAGTTGTCATTATCAGGTGCTGATGATAGTTCTGAGTTGGAGAGAAGACAAAAGAGACAATATTTAACAGATCACACACAGGTTAGCAGTTCAAAAGGAAATTGGTTATAACGTCTTTCTTTCCTCTTTGCTGTATGCTTGTTTTGTTTCTTTAGTCATTTGTAATGAAACTGCTCTTACAAAATTAGAGGCCAGCCATCCAAGTCATTTGGCACACTATTGGTAAAATGGAAATTTTAGAACATGGATATTGTCAAGTCTTTAGCTCAACTTGTATCGACTCCTTGTTCTTTCCCCATTAGAATAGTTGGATATGACATCTGAGATTATTCATACAGGATTTCATTGTGAACAAAGTCCGAAGAATGCTCTTCGAAGTAGTTTCATCTTTCAATTGCAATCTAGAGGATGAGGAGATCATGCTGCAGCTTATCAAAGCAGAGTTTGCTGTTCTTCGCGATGCTTTTAATTTACCTCCTGATTCGGATGATTATGTTCGTAAAGTGGCTGCTAAATTGCTTAATCTGTATCGTACTGGAAGGCTTGGTCATTATACTCTGGACCTTGTCCAAGTAATAACTAAGGAAGTCTAATAGGTAATAGCCTCAATTTTGAGTTGTCTAAATGAAAAGACGGCAATTTTAGGGGGCTGTCTATGTAGTCGACTATGATGGAAATGTCGTTATGACACACAGCATATTTTATTTTTCCAAGTTAAGATTGCAGTTCCGACGTTGTCAACATCAATAACAACAACAAACCAGTATATTCCCACAAGTGGGATCTTGGAGGATAGTGTATACGCAGACCTTACCCCTACCTAGTAAAGGTAGAAAAGCTGGTTCCAATCGACACCGTCAAGAGTGTCTTAATTTTTTCTCTAGCTCAGTTTGAAGTTTGTAAGAACACCCTCAGGTTTTTCTCTAGAATATGCTAGTATTACTTTATATGCTACTTATCTAGGCACTATTATTACCTTTGCTTTCTCTTCTTTCATTGTCTCTACTTTTTTATTCCTTTTTTTCCTTTCACTTCATTTCAAAATTCCCTCTTTCTCCCTTCCTTTCTTTTCACAAAACACACTTTGGGCAAATACTATTAGGGCCGGACATATATCGGGTATAACCAATAGCCCGAACTAATAAAATATTATTGGGTTATAAATATCGGGTTATTAGATAAATAGTTCGATACCAGTTTAATGCTATTTGACTATTGGGTTATCGATTCGGGTCTCGGTTTACCCAATTTTATTAACGGTTTAACCGATAGCCTAATAAAATTTAACAAAATTATTATTTTACCTACTAAGTATATAAAGCCACCTTATGGTTTCATTTTCTCATTCTCTCAATTCTCTCGGCAGTTACTCTTCATCTTCGGACCTTAATCCTTAGAGTAAGTTTTTGTTGCACTGATTCTTTAGTATTTACAAGAATAGGATTTTATTATTTTTCTATTAGTTATTCTCGCCCGTAGTGAGATAGTTAGTAAGATTATATGGTGAATGTCTAATTCCTTCTTGCTACTAACTTATAACTTTGGAAATTGAGATCATTCATTGGGATTTTCAAATGCAAAGAAAGTTTTCTTTTCTAAAGTTGAAATTTAATCCATATTTCTTATGAGCAAAAATTCAGTTCCTTTCTCTTTACATTATGATCACGATTTCTACAATACAAACATAAAATTTTTGGATATTTTTTATTCTTATCGGGTAAACCTATAACCGAACCGATAATGATCGATAACCGACAAACCGATACTCGATAACCGATATCTTATCGATTCGGTTATCGATTTAGCATATTTATAAACTGATAACCGATATGTCGAACCGATAACATTCACAACCGAACTAAACCGACCAATGCTCATCCCTAAGTACTATCCATATTGTGGTGCCCAAATATGATAAGGTATAATATACCAAAGCCCCTCTAAACTTGGCATCATATATTGGATGCCCCGAGCTATTTTTGTCTTATTGCTCCTAAATATCTTTCTAAATTTGAAAGTTTGATAGCGATTTAGAATATCTAGAACATGGGTGCACCACTAAAGAAATAAGAAAAAAAATATTAAGTGGGAATTGATCATTGATTCTTTGAGTAAATAATTAAGTACTGAACTAAGTGCACCGTTCAGCCTTTATGGAGCACAGGTAGCAATACGTAATATTGGACCAATTTTAGAAAATACGTACATAAAATGTCTAGTTTGACGGGGGAACTATGGCTTCACTGGCCACATAATTTAAGCTATAGATCCGCCCATGTTTGATAGTCTTGACTTATTGGATGCTAATGTGACAAATAGCATGAATACACTTTTTTAGATGCGTGAGGTTGAAGGAAAATTGACAATCACCTTCTAGGCGGGTATTTTTCAACCGTTAATTGTCACGTAATCATTGCGAATAAAATTTTACCCTGGGTTATATAAAAACTAAGTTCATGATATTAAAACTAAGTTATATAATTTCCAAAAGCTTCAAACTATATTATAAAGAATAGCTACTTGAGCAAAACAACTATTAACTACACCACTGAGAACATGAAACTAGCAAGCTGAAAGCTTTGATGAATGCACTTTTGAACCAAAAATTGTCGATCAATAGATAAACTTACAAGAATAAGAGGTTGTAACATGATTACCAGAGAAAAAATAAAAGAATTGTCTCGATCATTCATAATGTAATTTTGGAGAGATCACACTCTCTGTACAAACGATTCCTTCACGATAAGTATTATATTGAGGACATAATCCAAATGGTCCTTTGGGTGTCCTCAATACAGAATAAAACCAATTCTTAGCATAGAGCAACACTTCACCATCTGCAAACCTATATCCGGATATGGCTGAATAAAGATTCATACATCATAGAACAAACAATGGACTCCAAGACTCCTTGACACCATAGTCTTTCATTACCGATGCGCAAAAACAATGGCTTGGTTTGTCATTGAGCGACAGACCAAGCCAATGAAATGCTCCATTTACAAATGCCAAAGAGTCCATACCAGACAACACAGGGTAAACGCCGGAAGGATGTTGATCAATTTTTCTCCATGAACCACTTTTCAGCGCGAGAATTTCACCGCGTGCTTTAGGATGAATCTTAAGGATCTTATAGTCATCACTAGTTGAGTCATATCCCAATCCGAAAGTACAAAATTCCTCTGTTGGAAATTCAGGACAAGGGATCGGAGTACTTCAGATTCCCTTGTGGAGGGGTTCCATAGCAAAAGTACGAGGTGTTTGTCAGGATAACTACAAACCCCAATAAGAGACAAGCCATCGCGACAACAATAGATTCTGCAACGGCTTGGTCTACAGTTTGAAGGGCAATCAAGTTTTTGCACATCCCTAACCAGTTGAAACGAAGACAAAGAAGAACTATAGAAGGAAAACATATTATCCGTATCAAGGGACATTTGGCTAACAAGAAATTTTCTGGAATTTTGATCATTCTTGGCGCGATCGAGATGCTTCATCTTGAAATAAGGCTCGAATAAGATTAACCTTTTCCATAACTTTGAAACACATTTGAATCGAAGAAGAGACCGTACAGGTAATATACTGAGAATGTCCATAATTTTTTCATCTTGTAAGTGAATTCCCATAGCCCCATCAACATCCATGGGCTTTGTATTCTTTGAAAGATCCACAACTCTCTTAGCTGCAATTAAAAATTGTGGTTAACGACATAGACATTATAACATAAGTAAAAATTTCAGCGGAGGCAAAAAAAAAAAAAAAAAAAAAAAAAAAAAAAAACTAGGTGACTTATTGTTATCTATTCAACCCTTGGTAAACAGAGTTATCGGGTGTACTGGTGGGCAGTAGTACCTCGTGAAACTAGTCGAGATGCGCAAGCTTCGGTTATTAAAGGTTGCAGTCGAGCAGAGGCGGATCCAGGATTTGAGGTTCCAGGTTGATAGGACCAAACCTGTTGTTGTATGTGAAAGTAGACAAAACAAAAGAAAGAAAAATAAAAAAGAGATGAAAATATGATGTAAGCGCTTACATCGACATTCTTGTGATGTAAGCGCTTGCCTCAGCATTCTTATGATGTAAGCGCTTACATCGGCATTCTTATGATGTAAGCGCTTACCTCGGCAGNTGATGTAAGCGCTTACCTCAGCATTCTTATGATGTAAGCGCTTACATCGGCATTCTTATGATGTAAGCGCTTACCTCGGCAGGGCATTCAAATGCCTATAAATAGGGGTCTACATTTTCATTTGTAGAGCATCCCAAAACTTCTTCTTTCTCTCTTCAATTAATAAAGAGCTATTCTTTGTGCGGCCGTGGAGTAGGCAAAAATTGCCGAACCACGTAAATCTTGTCTTGTCTTGTCTTGTCTTGTGCAATTTATTGTTTCTCTCCTAAATATCCTCTTCCTTCTATTATCTTGACACGCTTCCTCAACAACTGGTATCAGAGCACAGATAGTGTAATTCTGGTAGAAAAGTGCAATATTGGTGCAGGGACTATTCACAAGAATAGTGCGACACTATTGATCATCGTTACTATTCACATAAATTGTTTTTGTGAAAAATGGCATCGGAAGAAGGGAAGGTTAAGATTGACAAGTTCAATGGCAAAGATTTTGGATTCTGGAAAATGCAAATAGAGGACTATTTGTACCAGAAAAAATTACACTTACCTTTGACCGAGGTGAAACCGGAGATTATGTCCAAAGCGGATTGGGATCTATTAGATCGCCAAGCTCTTGGTGTGATTCGTTTGACACTAACACGAAATGTGGCGTTTAACATCATTAACGAAAAGACCACTGCAGGCCTGATGAAGGCGTTATCAAATATGTATGAGAAGCCATCTGCTTCAAATAAAGTCTATTTGATGGTCGATTGTTCAACTTAAAAATGACAGAAGGTGGATCAGTCACGGAATATATCAATGAGTTTAATACAATATTAACTCAGTTGAGTTCTGTTAATATAACAATTGATGATGAAATCAGGGCGTTGATTCTACCATCATCTCTACCGGAGAGTTGGTCTGCAACAGTAACTGCAGTTAGCAGTTCATCAGGAAGTACCAAACTCAAATTGAATGATATTAGAGACTTGGTTCTAAGCGAAGATATTCGCCGAAGAGAATCAAGTGATTCCCCAGGATCTTCTTTTAGTACCGAAAGCATGGGGAGAATCAACCAAAGAGGACAGATTTATGGTCGTGGCAGATCAAAGTCAAGGAGAAGAGGACAATCCAAAAATCGCAAGGACATTACTTGTTGGAATTGCGATAAAAAGGGTCACTACAGTAGTCAATGTAGAGAACCAAAGAAGAAGAAGGAAGAAAATTCAGCAAATGTAATTGCTGAACAAGTC